GCGGCCGAGTTATTCGCCACTCGGACTGTCAAGGCGTCTTCGGACGTGATCGAGGCAAACGCTTCTTGGTTGGCGTGCATCTTCACACGATGACATGCCGTCAAGCATGATTGTCAAGAAGCGACTTGATGGTTCTGATACCAACGTCAATGGGATGGGACAACACCACACCTCCTGCGTGTGAAGCAGGAATCAACCGACTGGATAAAGGACGGTCGACTAGGTGCCATCTGCATCTTGACAACGGTGACATCCGGGTCGAGGATAGTGTGCCGCCCGAGTTTACGGCGTACACGATGGTTGACATTTTAGCGGCGCTCGCTACATGGCTCGACTGAACCAACCACGAGGCACGTCTACGTCTGGAGTTCAAGCAAGACCGGTTCACCCAGCGGCCCATCACAATAGTCAGGCGGCGCCGTTGTCCTGCTGCTCTTGCTCAAGTCCCTCTGTAGCATGTTCAGCACTTCGAGCGGCGTTGTCATCGGTACATGTATGTGTACGCAGCTGGGCTTCCACCGCATCTTGCAGAGTTGCCGTCAAGAAGTACAAATCTCTCCGATCCATTCCATCGGAGAATCTCATGGAACGCCTAGAGGTCGAAGTTACAGCAAAAAACGATAGAAATCAACGTATATTTGCTCTTCTACTCTCCGTTGTATGATTTTCAGCCCTCTGCGGCGGCAAACCGATTCTGGAAAGGATTTAGGCTTTCTAAATTTTCCGACCAAATTTGTCCACTTTGACCAAAAGTGTCGGGTTAAGATGCGGGCCACTATAGAGAAACGTCAATGCTGGCGACCGAGGGCTGTGTTCGAGGCAAGGAATGACGCGTGGGCCACCTAAGCTTTCCACGTCGCGACAGCAAACGCGAGTGCGACCGCGTACGAGTGGTACTTGAGCTTGAGCTTCTTTCGGATGCGGACTGCGTTGTCAGACCGTTCGATGAGTCCGATACGCATGTGCACAACGGACATGTCGGCAGCGAGGTCGCGAAACAATGGCCACGCTTCGACCGCGACGGGTTTCACTTGGGCTATGATGAAATCGGGAGCTTGATGACACCGTTGGAATTAGATAGGTCGCGAGCGATGGCATCGAGAGGTCGCGGCACATCGTTTCCGTTTGCTATGCCGTGGGCGACGTTGGCGTTCTCGTTGCAAAGAACTTGGCCCGGCGCACGGAGCACAAAGTGTTGAAAGACTCGGGGAGACACCAGTGATGTGGCTCAGGGTTCGGTGTGTACAATCAAATCGGTTGTCCTCACAACAAGCAACACAGATAGCAGCGGCATCAACGCAGCCATGGCCGAGGTATTTGCAGCGGCCAAAAATAACGTCGTGCTACGCTGGCGACGGGTGCTTATGGAAGAGGTTCGTCCTCAGCTCGCGCACATGCTCGAACAACCTTATGTCTACCCCGAGCTCTTTGACCAGTTTGTGTTCGCGCGCCGGGGAGCGCCTTCATGAGCCCATCCGTTATGAGCTTATATACCATTTTCGCGGGCCATCGTGGGGATAGCAATCGGGTACACGAAATCACGTGCGGCGACGCGAGCGCCTGACTCATGAGAGTGCGCGTCAGTCGTCAAGCAATCGGGCAGCGGCCCTCGCCGACCAAAGGTATAGCCAGAAGCGAGGCTGTAATCGTGTAGTTGAGGACATAGAAACGTGGCAGCGGGCATCGCTTGGTCACGGGCAGAGGTACATAACCTGGTTACATGCGGCAGCTCCAACGAGCGCGAACGTGATGGGCACATCGGGCGACACTGCTGCAGTTTTTCTCGACACCTGCGGGGTTGTGCAACTGACAGCAACCACTTTTGGGTTGGCGCTACACATCGATCTCTCGGCTCCCACCGGCTAGTGGGGCTTCACCGACGCATTCTGCGTAGTCGGCAACGCGATCACGCGGCTCGTCCAAGGCGTATCTCCGAGCAGCATCATTTTCAGCACAACTCGGCTCACGCTCCCCTTTGGGCGCTTCAACTACAAGTGTGCATCGAGGAATGTATCCTCATCGAGCTCGCGCCAACATTTACATGCTCGTAACACTGGAACCAAAACGTCATCAACGAGAAGGCGACCCATCCATGATCGGTCAAGTTCTCTGTGCCAACGGCCTCGTTCGGAACCTCGAGTTTGGTGTCGTCTATATGCTCACCGAAAAAATTGGCGCGCGCCCATGCATGTTCATGCTCACGGCCGATCCGCACCACGTTTTGCGGAGCGAGGAACTTTGCTCGCGCACGGCCGTTCATCAAGACCAACACAGTTTTCTACTGGGCGCTCGCTTAATTTGGCCTCGCGCAGGCTTCCGTTCCCGGCCCGAGCTGACCTCGACGTACTGGACGCGACCTTTTCGGTGGCGCGCTTCGAGCACGTCCCAACGTACGTTTTTGTCAACTCCTCCCGGTCATCTACACGCTAAATATGGACGCCGACGCTGTCGGCATCGCCATCATTGACCATTGGCACGGTTCATTCGACTTGCTGACGTGGAAGAGGAGGCTAGCAAGGCAACGACGATGCAAAGCTGATATCGACACCTCCGTGAACACCCGCGAACGCTTGGGTGTTGATCTCACGGCGTGAGAGTGGTGTGGTGATGTGGTCTGCACATCCCAATGACGGTCGTGGCGTGCCCCAG